GTTAAACTCAATTGTTACACCTGGTAGAGCAGAACGCTGATCATTTTATTAAAGATGAAAGACTTTAGACAGTTTTTCAACTCTCAGTAATGCCATAGTGATCGTTTGATGAAAGAAGAAGAAAGAAAGTGTACTTTATTGGTCCCCACGGGGACCAATAAATATATATGGACCATATATAATATATATGGTTGATATATGGACCTGCAGCGGAGTTTAGACCCAGACACGGCTAGTGACGTCAGACTGAACAACCGGATAGAAAAATGAGTGCTGGCTCAAGACTTTTGCACAATGCTGTATGAAAACGGGATCATAACCAGGAACTGTTCTTTAGAAATAGGTGGAGAAACTACTTGCTTTGGGTATCACTACAGAAGGTGACACTAGTTTAAAAGAGAGACAACAAGTTTACAGTTTTCCTTTGTTGCAACTAAAAGCGTTCTACAGAACTTCATTAATATTTATGTGTAACACCCATCCCACGTTCTATTGAGAGGGGCCCTGGGTTCCTGTTGTTACTTTCCTATTGATACTCCCTTTTTAATGCTTATGGTATTAAATATGCAATAAAACTACACTATATGGAAATAAATCACACACAAGCAGGTCAATTATAAAGTTAACTCCACTTTAGTGAATGCTGAATTAACAACACAAAGGAAATAAGTAAAATCAATAAAGTCTGTTAAACAATGGTAAGGTATCTACCTCAACAGAAACAAAATAATCAAATAATATTGTGGGCCCACACGCGCTCTCACCAAAGACACACACACCTCAAGTGCTACAGTCTTTCTGCTAGCAAACCCCTCGTTGCAGGCCTGAGTCGTGGCTCGGGTGCGTTGGGACCTAAAACAATATGGTCGCTTCACTTGTTGCCAAGCAGTAAAAATAAAAGCACGTGCAAACAACAGTACTCACACCTCCAGGCAGTTCAAGGGGATAGCGGGGAAACTGGGTCACGGCTACCAGCAGGCCGCGGCAGCAGCACTCACAGTCGTCCTTTCCACGTGCTCCCACGTGAACACATAACTTCAGCACACCAGCAGAAGGGACCTCTCTGACACGCCAGCAAGACGTCCGTCTCCTCCTACTGAATCACACAACCCCGCTAAATGCCAGTTCACACGCGATAACATTCAATCTTAGCATTAGCTTAATAAATAAAAACAGAGCAGAACAAGAGCTTAGCGAATATGTTAGCAGTTGTGTTAGCGGCTGTGTTAGCAGTTAGCCCGTTTTACACAATAACATTGGGTACAAGTGTCAGACAAAATTCACATTTACCTCACAGTAGGGTACAACAGTTCTCGACCCGAGTTAACTATCCGTCAACCCGAAAATGCGTCTGTCGCCCTTCTATGAACTCTGCGTTCACTCGACACTGTTCAGCTCTCGTCTCTCTCGCTTCCTGCAGAGTGCACACGGCTCCCCACTTACTCCCACCCCTCTACCTGAGACTACTTCAGGGTTCACTGGAGCTGTAGTACATATCAATACCATATCAAAAATAATGACATAAACCTCAAAATACAAATAAAAAGGTTGTGCATTTAACTGACACACATCACATACTTTGCAGGCATTTGTATACATTCTTGAACACATTAAACATTTGCAATTAACTATCAATATTAATGAACAAATTTAAATAATGAGCTACTTATACAGCCAGGGCTACATATGCTAAACCTTTACTTACTCTCTGTAATTCCCAGGTGCTTGGGGAATACTCTCATTTGAGGGAGGATCTTGAACCTGCTGAAGTCCTGAGCCTGCTAGCCAAACTTTTGGACATGAAGAACAGCAGTAGTGAAACCAAGAGCTGGGTCCTCATGGCCATGACCAAACTCTGCAAAGGTGGCGCTGATGCTTCTGTAACTCAGGAGGTTTCTGAGACATACAGCAGCTCCTTGGATACAGTGCTGAGACAAAGGGCGCATGAGTTGCAGTACCTCAGCCAAGACCCTGAACTAAGAGCCAGGGTGTTGCCACGAGGTGCCAAACCAGAGACTCTGGAGGTAACGTGTTTAACTTGTTTGCAGTGAGCAGAGAACCCGGCCACATTAATAACATTTAAATATTAACTCTGTAGCTCTTTTCACAGTAAAAGCAGGTTAGTTGACGGTTGTGAAAACCTGCAAACACTTTATGGAAACACCCCTCAGGGTGCAAAATTGATTAGATTGATGACAGCCTTTACCGTAATCACATTATTCATTTTATGAGTAATCAAACCTGTAACATGTCTGGAGAAGTCTGAAGGGCGGAGCTCTCCAGAGAACTTCATTCAGTATCGGACTCACTTTCATTCATTTAGAGAGCAAGAAAACCAATCTCTCTTCTTTTGGCCAAGAATTTTATTTTAAACACATAAATTAGTAATTATATGTTTTTGTGTAGCTGAGCAAAGCACACAGAGCACTCAGGCGCAACGTCTTCAGTCCTGCGGCAATTTTGCGTGACTGTTTGATTGTTTTTAGGTGGATTCCTCGCTGTCATTTCTTGACAGATTTGTGTCAGAGGCGTTGGCTGCCGGCGCTGCTCCATACAAACCTCCCCACCAATGGCAGGAGGAATTAGATCAGTCAAAAGGTAAAATGTAGATAAATATCTTGGCAGCACATTCAGCATCTTGTTTGGATTTGTTCTGACTTTGTTGTCTATCTCAGCCTTGAGCCTGGAGCCCTATGGCCTTTCTCTGCCTATCAGCATGTCCTCCTGCAGCATCACTGACAGACAGTCTCCTACACTGTTGTCCATGAGCTCGGGTCTGTCAGGGGATAGCGCTGACCTCTCACACAAAGGAGGGTATGTGGACACCACATGCATGCATTTGTTGGTGTAATCAAGTTCCTAGTTTTAGTGTTGAATTCACACTGAAGACTTGCTGTTTGTGTTTCAGCTCTTCAGCTTTGAAGCTGGATGGCATAAAGAGGGTGTGGGGAAGGGAGGGCTATCTGGCCCAGAGAGAACCTGTAGAGGAAGCTGCACAGGTTGAGGTTCCCAGTCCCATTCAGTCTCCCGGCCGGCAGGGCGAAGGCGACAGTTTGCACAGCCAAACTCCAACTCAGACACCGACCCCAGAGCCTGAACAAGAGAAACAGCAGCTGGCTTCTTCGCTGTTTGTTGGCCTGGCTTCCCAAAGCTCTGTGTCTCTGGTGAGGTTATCAGTCCATATACCATATGTGCAAAGAGCAAGCGTCAGCTTATGGTTCAGACTGTTCTGATTTTTATGTGGAGGATCACCGAAAACACTTTAGCCACAGGAGTTTTAGGGCATCAGGTCACACTTTAAACTGTCACTGGAGTCAGTTATGCTGTAAACAAGCTCATCACTTGTACATGTCATAATGTGCCTACTGACAGCACATTTAACATACAATTAAAATGAATATATTTTTTTGGCCTCGACAACTCAGTCTGTGCTTATCACCCAACTCACCAGATTTGCCTGCCTTCGTTTAATTAATTAATTCTTTTGAAGGGTCATCATTTTGAAATGAGGAGGAGATAAAGCATGCATCACCCACAAGGGCAGTGGGGTAGAACAGGAGTTCCTCTGATTCAAAAATAGCAGCCACACTGAAAACATTGGAGTGTCGCCAAAGGAGATGACCTTTAAGGAGCATTTAAATCAGTGACGGTTTTTGATATTTATGGCCAGAGTTGTGGAACTTTATGATCGCACTTCATCCCTGAAGGTAGCCCTGAATAAAATATGTGTTAATCTATTTTTACATTTTTGGCAATTTCAACATAGAGGGCAACAAAGAGGACCGGATGAACACTCGTCTGTTTTTATTATCAAAATTAATGATGATGAACCAAACATTTCTTACATTTTTGTGAGGGCCCATTTAGCTACTGTGAGTCTAAGATGAGACAAAAGGTGTTGCTTTTTAGAACGTATTCAATGATTGGCTGAACATTTTCTCGGGTGGTAGGATCTACTAATGCTATTAATTTAAGGATGTCAAACTCATTTTACATCATAGACCACATGCAGCCCACTTTGATCTTAAGTGGGCCAGATCTTTGAAATTACATGATAAATGCATAAAAAGTTCTAGTAGTTCTTTCATTTAAACTTTCATTTAAACTTGCATAGGTATGTCTTGAACACGTTTCAAAGTCCATTGGAGACCTTGCAGGGCCAATTCTCATTTAAAACCCCTGCTATAAGTGAAAGTGCTTAACGTGGAGCTATTTGTGCAGCTATTTGCATTGCTGATTCTGAACATTTTTCCTACATATATGTGTTTTTGCTTCTAACAGATGGGAAAATCTGAGCCGACGCCACAGCGATTCCGAAGAAAAGCCAAAGGTCAAGGTCTGGGCTCGTCCTTTAACGCAAACGAGCAAATATCCAGCTCCCTCATCTCTCCTCCCAGTGCTGTAGATAACCTGCTGTGTAACAACCTACTAGACTCCAACAACTCCTCAGAGCTGGCAGAACAGACATCTCAGCTCTCTCAGAGCCTCACTACTGCTAATGGCACCTGTCACGCAGAGGCAGAGTTAACTGAATCTGACACAAAGGGATGTAACCCTGCTCTCCGCAGGGATAACTGTGTGGTAGCTGCTGGTCCTGGTCCACATAACGACCCAGGCAGACTAACAGAAGTGTGTCTGGATTCTTATCTTCCTGCAGAGCTTTCTGGCCTTTCACACTCAGAAATCGCTCCTTTGTGTGCCAACCAAAGCCTGAATCTCTCAGCCTGTCATGTGCAGAAGGAAGATTCATTAATATTAGTTGTTTTTATTATGAACTCCTCCGAGTCTGCCATACAACAGATGCTGCTTCAGGTCGACTCTGAAGAACTTGAGGTAAATTATTCAGTAGAAAATGATCAATAGAGTCGTTTGGTGTCCATTAGTCTTTTATAATGAGGTTGCTTCGTTGTATTGTTTATTTTTAGGTATCCTGCCTATGTAATAGTCTAGCGGGGGAGGTGACAAGCCACAGTGTAGCAGTGGGCCAGTATTCTCTAACTGTGAAGAGGCCTGCGGTTCACGTCGAGGTGGTCGGGACGGTATCTTACCAGCTGCCTGCTGGGACGTCTCAGTCATTGCAGTTTTCATATAAAGTCCCTTTAACCAGCTTCATCAGGTGAGATATATAGTGCTCGTATTTGAAGTGCAGTATTTAAGTGACATAAAATTAATCCGAGTTTCCTGCAGGCCTTTTGTGGTGTCCACAGAGGAATACGGGACGATGTGGCTTTCCTTCTCTCACGACACAAAGCAGAATCTGACGTTGATAAATGACAACCAAGAACCTCTCACAGCCACTCTGAATGCTCTGAAGAAGAAGCTCCAGCTTCATGTTGTGGAAGTTATAGGTGAATGAACATTTGTTTCCTGCTCGTATTCAAGCTGTTCAAACTGAGAGTATCATTTTATGCTTAATACATATAAAAGCAGCATTCACATCAATATGTATGTGTTAGAATATTCACCAACTCATCTGTGGTAACTACTGTATATTTATTCTTAACATTAGGGATAACTGTTTTAAAAAAACTACATTAATTAAAAAGATGAGATAATGCAGCTTGACTATACGTCAAATATGCCTCTAATGAGGTGTACTTAGGAGTTTATGAAGAAAACTTACAACTTTAACTTTCGCTTGTATGCAGCATGAACATCATTAAATAACACGGCGGTACCAATAAACAGCATTACAAAGGGGAAGAAGAAGAAGATTTTAAAATTGCATTCAGAAAAGGAGACATAGATATTAATGTGTCCTATACTTTTTGCTGTATTTTCACACTGAGTAACCTTCATTGTTTTCTGCTCAGGCATGGAAGGAATCGTAGCTTGCCGTCTCCTTCAGGATCTGCCGTGTCTGATGCATTGCCGGGTGAATGCCGGCTGGCTGGCTGTCTGGCTGCGGTCGCCGGTGCCCGACCTGCCCGACTGCCTGATCTACCACTGCCAGAGAGCTTTACAGAGCCTCTGAGACTCAGAGCTGCAGCACCACTCACCACCACTAAAACCACTGAGGAACTAAACCCACCAGACCCTCACTGAAGAGGAAGGTACACAGAGCTGAAGTGCTGAACAGAAAAGGAGAAACCTGCTGTTGTGGCTTTTGATCTTTATTTTGCGGTCTTTATGAATTTCACTCAAAGTTATTTAGTAAGATTTATTTGGCAGAACTATAACTCATTGAAAGACATGGCAGGTTAAAAGCTCAGGGTCAAATGATGGTGTTTAATCATCTGTGGGTGTTTCATTATTGCCTTTTAGTCGTGAAAGAGCTCCATAATCACTAAACAATTGAAGCCTTCTTCCTGGTTAAATTCTGATGGTATGCTTTGTATAACAGAAAATTCTCAAAGTGTAAAATAATGAAGTTCTCAGTTGTTTCTTTTTCCTGTACACCAGAGAGAAGATATATATTTTTTGTGATCTGAAATACATTTTCTAGGCTACAACAATCATAACAGTGCAGCGAGTAAGTCCACAGTCACTTGTCCCTCTTCCACTTTCACATTTACAACAGATGCATTGAAGAAAAGATAGTGTAGCAACTTCAGTGTATGAATAACCACAGACAAATCAGAAGGATTACATGACGGCCACGGCAGAGAAACTGAAGGATCATGTCATCACTAAGCCACTTTCTATTAGTTCGTTAGCCAAGCATGGTTGCTAAATATGCAGCACTAACCAAAAATGGCCCCTTGAGGCTGATTGATTGCTTCTCTCTCCAAAAAACCAGCACGGTGGCTGATAAAATGCAAACGTTGCGGTTTCAAAATTAGCAGCACCACTATATACATTCTACACCTTTAACATATTAGCCCTATTGAGCTGTGATGGCTAATGCCCAGTAAATGTAAAGCATGCTAGCTTTAATATTTAAAGACGCTTAATGGAGATTATTTCTACTTGATCTAATCATGATCTAGCGATAAATCTCATGGTAAAACCAGCCCAACCACCTTTTCCTGCTTACAACTGAACCTCGGATTTACAGAATTGCTACACTTTTAATTTTTTTTTGACTTTCACCATAATAACAGCAGGCTGAAATGCAAATAAAACTGAAGAAAGATGCTCTCTTGTTCACTTTTTACAGACTTGTCTCATGAGATGCTAAACAGAAGTGCAGTGTTTGATTATTTTCCAAGAATCAGCAGCTTGTGCTCTGATTTTGATTTAGTCTCTTGAATGGATGAGCGCACAGTATATTTGCACTAGTTCATTTTATTTGCAGCTCTTTTGCTCCTTTATTGAAAAAGCACAGGACGATACTGACAACGACTCCACGTGGAGGTTAATAAGAAATTGAAGCATTTGATCGGTCATGTTTGGCATATTCATGGTCGTCTTCCAATGAAATTTAAAGTGTTGTAAATATTTGTAAAATATCCAGTTGGCCTGCTCGCGGCTGACGTGAACTTCCCCTTTTTTCTTTCTGACACGTACAGTGAGCGGTCTGTCTTGGACGGTATGGACTGATTATTTAAGCACTCATGTTTCTCATTAGGTGGATGTTAAGGGTTGTTATATTTTTGTATGACTGCAGTATTAAAAGAACATATTTATGCGTTTATATTCTTACAAAATGTTTACATGCATTTCACTGAAAGAAAGGGAACCATTGTTCTTCATGTGCTGTTTGACTGGTCTGTGCCAGATTACACCTGTATGTTTCTTTGACATGTTTTGGCTTGTTTTAAGTAATTCAGCCTGAAGGGAAAGTTTGCTTTCTGCGTTTCTTCTATGCCTGTGTGCTGGTTTGAAGCACAGTGTGATGCTAACAGTGTCTCTAATACTCAGTTTTAACCCTACGCCTTATGTTTTAATGCCAGTACGGCATGTTTGATTTGTGCCTGTGGTACAGAGGAAAAAACACATCCTTGTTTCTTGGAGTGCCTGTCATTACATTCAGTTAACTTATGAATAAATTCAACATGTGAAAATGACCCTTTGACTTTGACTCATTGGTTATTTAATAAATTGAGGCTCTCATGGAGTTTATGCTTATTAACACATGTATTGGGTGTGAAACAGGAAGTAATAATACGAAAATTTATATGAACTACTGATTCTGCACAATAATGAAAATGAATATTTAAAATGAGCTTTTTTATGTGAAGTTGTTTGCATGGTGAAGCTGAAGTATATACAGCATTATAGCATATTTCTACACTGATCATATAACATAGAAATACCCACAAAGGCAAAGTAAATGCAGATTTTATTTATGGTAAATTATTCATGAAAAGGGTTATTGTTCTTAGCCATAATGTACTTTTTCTATAGCTTTATTTTTAGTTATATAAACTAAAAAACCTTTTTTAAAAATCAGGCATAATGTTGGGTAATTACAAAACCACAGAGTAAAAAGTCTCAAGTTAATTTGACCAAATTTGTCAACACAGCCAAAAATGAGACTACACTGAGTACCCGGAGAGATCATGCCCAAGCCAGGTGGTGGAGTTGAACTCAGGACCAATCACTGTGCCACCATTGCAACAGTTTACTGTAGTTTGAGAAATTTTGAGAAAGCTTCATAGCGTGAGATTCTGTAGCTGAGCAGCTCCTGTAGTAATGTAATGTTTGGGTGACCCACTTACAAAACAACAGATGCTAAATGAGATGAGAAGAAACTGATATCAAACTCAAAACATAATACAAATAAAACTAATGTAAATACAGAACCATTGTTCCTCTACATGTGATTTTTTTCTTCAGTTATTTCAATCATTGTAAATGCATCTTTATTAAATGTATGAGCTGTGTACACTGTCAAAACATTAATCAGAAATCTATACTAACAAGTGTACTTTGTTAAAGATTAGTAAAGTTTAATTTGGAGTACATGTGCTGTTAATACAAATTTACTGTGAGTATTTCCCATTACAGGACTTCATTAAGGCCTTTAAACCCATTTCAAGATGTTTTCATCTGAAGTGTAAAAAGCGCTGTTATGTTTCGCAGCTTGATATTGTGGGGTTATGTCATTCGTGGGATGAAGCGCATGGCCAGGATCTGCTCGTCTTTCACTGGCTGCTGTGACAGGTTGTTGGTCTGCTTGATGCTGTTGAACGTGCAGCCTTGACGAGGACACACAGTGTACCGAGACAGGAGAGTGACCAGGATGGCCTTCATCATCACCATGGCGATGTGTTTGCCCACACAGGAACGAGGCCCGCAGCCAAAGGGCTGGAAGTAACGACTGGGTACCTGCCAAAGAGAGGAGGCAAAGACTCAAATGTGTGTGTGTGTGTGTGCATGTTTTTTTTTTTTTTAGTTTAAACCATTAAACATTTATTGCTGAACTACACTCTGCTCACTTACCATTTTTTCAAAGTTCGTGAGGTTGAACTCTTTAGGCTTGGGGAAGAATTCGGTTTTGTGCATGAGGCCAATGTTGAGAATGATGTTGGTGCCTTTCTTGATTTTTGTACCTGCGATGTCGTTGTCCTCCAGAGCTTTCCTCATTGTGAAATCGACCACAGGATGAAACCTCAAAGACTCGTTGATGAAGCTCTCCATCACTTTCAGACTTTGGTAATCGATATTTTCCACGTCTTTTTCATCTGAAAATGAAAGATCTGTCAGAATACTTCTACTCACCAGAGTGAAACTGTGAATATGGAATATTGGAAACACTATAAAGCTGCACTAACTCAAGACGGTGTTCATCTCCTCCACTAGCTGCAGCTCTATGTCCGGGCTCTGTTTCAGCAGCATCAGCATGAAGAAGAGGCTGATGGAAAGTGTGTCGGGGGCTGCGATTATCATCTCTAGCACACACTGCCTGACATTATCTGCTGATAGCTCTCCGTAGTTCTGTTAAACACAACAGACGGGAATAAGAAAAGACAATTGTATCGGGGGACGACAAAAATCCCTCCAAAGAGACCGACCTGGGCGAAGATGAGCTCTGTTGCAAAGTCGAGCTCGTCGTCCAGTTTCTCGGCTTCATGAATCATCTTTTTCTTAACTTCAAGCAGGCTCTCCATCGCATCTTGCAGCTCCTGTCTGTTGGCACAAAAAGCAACACAAACATTAGGTTGAAGAAATCGCAAACCACAATACTGACTTACTGTGAGATGAGGTGTCTTACGCTGCTCTCTTATGCTTGTTGTACAGCCATCCAACCTTGAAGAATATATCTGGTTTTATTAGAACTGTCTGCCAGGTCTCAAAGTAGTTGTGAATTTTCATCAAGAATTCTTTCTCTGAATTATTAAAAAGAACAACAGCAACAACAACAAAAAATCAATCGATGCAGCGCCAGAGTTCATGCGTCACAATTTCTTGCAGATAGTATGCGGTTTTAGGAATCTATGTGCAGTAAACACGCAACTGACCATTTAACGGCACTCTTAGGAACAGCCTGTTGGAGATGTCCAAAATGATGGTTCTCAGGAGACTGAGAGTATCCACATGTCCAGAGGAGTCAGTCATATCCTGTAAGTTGTCCAGGTGTTTGGCTGTGGAGCTCACACAGATTCCTACGGTCCTCTGCAGGCCGGGTCCAGTCAGAGCTGCACAGTAACATTCAGTAGCTCCACAGTTCAAGAAAGCAATAGTCTAACCACAGTAGTATGTGCTGTCAGTGTGTGGTAATCACTCACCTTTAGAAAAATATGTTCTCACTTTTTTCCAAAGCAGGACATTACTGTTGAAAATGATACCATTTCCGTACATGCCGATGCACTCGAGTCCTTTTTTGCTCCCAAATCTGGAGGTGTAGTGGGCACTCCTCAAAACGTGGTACACTTCAGAGGACCTGCAGAAGAAACCAGGCTTTACCTTTATCTGAAAATTTACTGTAAAACAAGTTCGGTTTACTTTAAAAAACAAAAACAAAAAAAACAACCCACTTGCCTGCTCAAAATCAGGGTCTCCTCTCCGCTTATCCACACCCGCACAATGCTCCCATATTTGTTGTTGTAGTAGTTACACGCTGTTCCAATCCCAGACCAGATGAACCTGCTGTAGGAGAGAATGGGACCGAGTCCTGCTAAGAAGGAAGGACCTGACAGAGAGAAATGGGTTATGATAGTAGACTCCCACTTCTACTGCAAATTAGCAAGAACCTTGTCTGTTGAGTTTAATTTGAGAAAGATAGTGTATTTTTTTGGGATAGCTGCCAGGCTCTGATCTTAGTATATAGGAGAGTGGCAAGTAAGGACGGCACTCTTTGTTCTGTGTGTAACTGTTATTTGACTTCTGCATGAACCATTTTCATCAGTATACAGGAATTTACACCTGGAGCTGCAAAACAGAGACTGTTTGTGATAGTTTTAATAGACAACGAACACGCTCTGTGATGGTTGAGTAAACCTTGTTTTGTCATTGATGAATTGCAGACCTTCTGTGTATATGAGGGTTTCCCTTTCTTTGTCATTAGATGTTTGCTGACTTTACTCTGTATCTGATTCCTTCGCAGTGGATGGCTAAATGATATAAAAAGACACTTTGGAGCCTTTAATTAATATGGTATATAAATACTTATAGTATATAGTATATATAACTCTATGTATATTATGTGTGTATATATATATATATATATATATATATATATAATATATATATATTATATATATATATATATATATATATATATATACATTAGAGTTATTTAGGATGAATAATAGGATTTGATAAATAAGGTAAAGATTTTAATTGCAATTTAAAGTGTATTTAGAGTGTAATTACTGTAATTACTGTACTAACTATAAGTATTTATAGTTAGTAACATTTATATATTTATAGTTACATATTTATAGTTAGTATTTATAGCTGCTGTATCATCCATGTGCTCTCTGGCAAACTTCAGACGGGCCTGGACATGCACTGGCTTCAGCAGCGGAACACGTCTGGCACTGCGGGATTTGATTCCCTGCCGTTGTAGTGTGTTACTGATGGTGACCTTTGTTACTTTGGTCCCAGCTCTCTGCAGGTCATTCACCAGGTCCCCCCGTGTGGTTCTGGGATCTTTGCTCACCGTTCTCATGATCATTTTGACCCCACGGGATGAGATCTTGCGTGGAGCCCCAGATCGAGGGAGATTATCAGTGGTCTTGTATTCAGGTGCCATTCATACAGGTAATGAGTGGGGGACAGAAAAGCTTCTTACAGAAGACGTTACAGGTCTGTGAGAGCCAGAGATTTTCCTTGTTTGAGGTGACCAAATACTTATTTTCCACCCTAATTTACGAATAAATTCTTTACAAATCCTACCATGTGGATTCATGGATTTTTTTTTCACATTCTGTCTCTCACAGTTGAAGTGTACCTCTGGTGCAAATTACTGACCTCTGTCATCATTTTAAGTGGGGGAACTTGCACAATCGGTGGCTGACTAAATACTTTTTTGCCCCACTGTATGTATGTATATCTATATCTATATCTATATCTATCTATTATATCTATATATATATATATATATATTATATATATATATATATATATATATATATATATATATATATATATATATATACATATATATATATAGTATACACACACACTCATATTGATATAATGTTGATATAATGGAATAATATGTTCCTTATAGAGAGATATTTAGGATGAATAATAGGATTTGATAAATAAGGTAAAGATTTTTTAATTGTAATTTGAAGTGTATTTAGAGTGTAATTACTGTAATTACTATAAGTATTTATATAACATATTAATTAAAGGCTCCCTGGGGCGCACTCTGTCAGTGCGCCCCAGGGCAGCTGTGGCTACAATGTAGCTTGCCATTGCCAGTGTGTGAATGTGTGTGTGAATGGGTGAATGACTGAATGTAGTGTAAAGCGCTTTGGGGTCCTTAGGGACTGAGTAAAGCGCTATACAAATGCAGGCCATTTACCATTTATAATATCACACACAACACACACACACACACACACTACACAAACACCACACACACACACACAAGCTAAAATATATATTATATATATATATATATATATATATATATATATATTATATATATTTATTATATATATAATATATATATATATATTATATATGTATGTATATATGTGTACATATATACATATATATGTGTATATATATATATATATGTGTACATATATATATGTATATTAGTGCCTACCTGGTATGTGTGACTGTTTTCTTTGTCTCCAGGTGGTGAAAAGCAGCAGCAACAGCAGCAGAAGTAGCAGGACAGCAGTGACTTCTGACGCTCTATCAGCCACCATGGGGCCAGCGATGAGCTCCTCTACCGGCAGCATCCTCTGCATTTCTCTAGCCAGGTACACCCAATGGAGCACTGTGTTTGCAGTCTGCGTTCAGATCTTTTAATAAGCAGCAGACAAAACAGAAGATGATCAACCTGTGGGTTTCCTCCTCTCTTATCTCCTGTGGAGTCTGTCCTTCAGTCTAGGACGTAACATAGCACTGAGCCACATTCAAATCAAAATACACCCACATCAACCTTTATCATTAACTGTTTGTATTACTGAAGTAGTTAGCATCAAATATACAATAATTACAGACATCATTATGATTTTTTTTTCATGATGATGTCTGTTATCTTACAATTATAGGGTCATTAGCCCTTATCTTACTTATTGTCTTTGATATTTTCTAAACTATTAATACCTTTATAGTTATTTTACAATTACAGTATTTTGTCATGTATCTTAAGTTTTTCATCACTGTGCTGCAGAAAATTGAACAACATGAATTTGCTGCTGTCAGACTGCATCAGAAGGACACTGATGAGCAGCGAAATGTGAGCTCATTAAATAAGCAAGACTAAATAAGAAGATGCCAGACCAGCAGAATCTGATTAATCATACAATCTAGATAGAACAGTCATAAGCAATAAAAAAAAAAAAAAAAAAAAAAAAAAAAAAAAATATATATATATTGTCAGATTATTATGAGATTATATATATATATATATATATATAAAAGCTAAATTTAAAAAAATTAACCAGTCTATGTGAGAGGTTTGCTTCATAAATCTTTGTAACAAAAAAAGGTTGAATAATTCTACTTACTTCTCTTTCCTCTCCTGCTCCAGTCCAACTTAGAGTACAATTTGAAGAGGTGCAGTACTTCCTCTACTGGTTTTAAAGGTGACCAGCATCCTTTGTGCAAATAAATCCAGTGTTTCAAGTGTTTATAAATCCTTTGGCTGAGCTTTCACTTTAACAGTTGCCTGGAGACGTGGTCACTTGAGGGTTACAAGCACCATGGCAGAGGAGTGAACCTGAGACACAGCAGTGCATATCTGAACCACAAAGCAGTTTCCAGCAGAACAAAGGAGGTGCTTTTTATTCATAAGAATGGAGAACCTGCAAGGCTTTCACTGGTTGTGCTCTGCATTAGTGTTTAGATGGGCTTACTTCACATTTAGCTTTGTTGCACCCAGAGAAACCCCACTGTCCAATTCATCAACCCGGGAGGCTTTTGAAAGGGAAATTAATTAGCTGGGTCAGACTGACCTGTGTCAAAGGAGACAAGGACTTACTCAGGAGTTCAGAAAGGGAAAAGAAGAATTAAAAAAATGTCATAATTATATTCTTAAAAGCTCAGTTTTAATAATTTAATTTAAAAGTGCTGTCAAAGCGATTGATTGATTGCATGTTAGTTAGTCCAGTGTAAGAAATCATAGTTGCAAAGTTGAAAGGAAAAAACACTGTTCATGGAAAGCTTTTGTGAATGAGCTGGCTTTCATGCTTGGTACCTGTGAATAGCTGGTATGCCCTGTTTAAAGATACTGGCCACACATCTAGGGGTGGATGTGTTGGTCTTGCTCTGAAATTAGCAACAGAAGCTACAATGACCTCTTCCCCCCACCCCCGAAAAAGCAGCAAATCAAAAATCAATCAAAAAAAAAATGTAACATTGACTATTTACGAAACTTTCAATTTCGAAATTCATATTGCAATGAATAGAAAAAAACAAAACCCTTTCATAAAAAGGATATTCTGACACCCACACATGTACATCTGCACACTCGCAGACATTTGCTGAAAGCTCTCTGAAAGTTCTTTTGTAGATCCCAACAATGTGTCCCTTGTTCCCAGCTTATTTATTCCACTTCCATGTAATTTTGAGTAGGACAAGCTAGTGAAAATGCTGAGGAAAAGAGGCACCAGAATGATGGGAAGCCCTATGCTGTCTGGAGGATGTGTCATTCTGGAAATATGTCCATTAGCTGCATTTAAATCATGCAAGCCTACAGATTTCAGCAGTCTTGCAGATGTTTGTTATTATGCAATGCATCACGTGTCTCTCTCTCTCTCTTGCTGTAGTTCCAGGCAGATTTTGACATGTTTATTCCTCTCCAACTGCTCTACTGTGGTTTCTCTCTGACGTGTCATCTGCTGGCAGGTGTTCAGAAATGTGCTGTATGTGCTTCTGAATTACACAGCCCGGATCACTGTGCAGCGAGGACCAAGGAACGGGGCACAAACATGAAAGAGGGAAGTGTTGTTTCTCCCATGTGGAAAGTGTTGCTGGTGGGGATGTGCGTGCTGCTGCTCCTGAGCACGGCAGGTTTAGTGTTTCTGCTGTTTCGGCAGAAAGAGTTGGCAGATGAGCTGTTTAGGCTGGAGTCCCAGATGCAGGAGCTGACAGAGAGCTGCAGGTTGCTGACGGGAATCCTGCCCATCGACCCCGGAGAGGCCCGAGTGTTCAGGAAGCTCCACCGCCGCAGGAGAAACCAGGAAGAAGATCCAATGCAAAGCGAAGATCAGAAGGATATGCTGATGCTCATGACATACTCTATGGTTCCTGTAAGACATCAGCATGCTTGGATGTTTCTGTAGGACTGTGAATACTAATGCTAAAAGTTGTTTACTCTATTATGACAAAAACTGAGTTATGAATCTCTGAATATATATTATGAAACGGAAGAGAGGGGGAATTTTTTTATTTTTCCAGAGTTTGGTGTCTTTAATACGATCATGTGAGGCATCTCCTTGCAATCTAAGAAATCCAGGAGTCTGTTGTAACCATTAACAAATTTCTAGTCTTGAGTGCTTCCTGGAAAAGTACTTTGTGCTGTGAAGAGTGACTGCTCCTCCCTCGGCTCCACTTTCTTCCACTACAAAACTGGCATTTCTTCAAAGCCGTGCTACTGTATATTTTGTGAGGGAGCCGGGGGCAGTATCATTGTTTTTATTAACAATTAATCTTCACTTTCAGTTTGTTTCATCTAAAGCCTAAAGATTAAAAGAACAGCAGAGATTTAAGAAGTGAGAAAATTTTAGGGAATTTTAGTTGTTGTTGTTGTTATACTCTAACTGCTTCAGCTCTATTAACGAGAATGATTCTTTTGCTGGATTTTGGGAATAAACACTGAACATGGCAAAAGATTAAAATATAGACCTTTAGAAAACACCCTGTCCTTTCTGTGTTAACAGGGCCTAACTCAAATGGCCCTATATGTGGTTAACTTACACCTAAATCAAAACTTTCCTCATGCCTGTCTTTTTCTTTATTTCAGGTCAAAGCCTTCACAGACATGTGCAGGAGCTCCAAAGGAATTTGTTTAACAGGTGCACATCATAAAAACATGCATCTCCACTGTTTTCATTTGCGTATTTACTGCCCATAGTTGTTGTTGTTTTTTTTTAAATATGTGAATTGTTTTTTTTCTTTCCAGGCCCACCTGGACCCCCAGGTAAAAACTGAAATTTAAATTTACTGAATAAATTTACTCAAATTATGCTAAATTCCTACTGCATTACAAAGTGTTTTTGTTCTGTCAGGTAAACCTGGTTCACCTGGACCCCCAGGTCCACCGGGGCCAGAGGGGAGACGAGGTAGAAAAGGTGAGAACTTTTATATGTCTAAGAAATCTGAGAACCCATCTCCTCTCTCATTCAGCGAAAAGCTGTATGAAAACAACCAAATTTGCAGAACAGAAGCTTCTCGTGCATTTCAAACAGTCTTTCATTGTTCCTGCTGTGATTGCACAACACGAGCATCCCACTCACTGTCTGCAAGAAACTTGTATTTAGCTGCCACATAGCTGTTTACTGCAGTGGGATAAGTGTTTGCTGCACTGATTAGCACTGATTAGCCCAAATTATAGTATTTTTGTTGTTTTGAAACTGAAAATTGCAGTGTGGGCAATGTTTTTTTGTTTTTTTTTAACTTTCACTCATTCACTGTATCTTTTTACCAACTCTGCATGGCTTAAACTCTGAGATTAATCTGAGATTCTGAAGAAATTTAGGTTTTTGAACTAACATGAAGCTCTTGATGAATACTCAGGGAGCCTGACATTACCTTAACAGACTGTTAACTGTTATTGGTTCCTTTTCCTTCCTTCAACTCTTCAGGCTTTTTGTGATGTGTTAAATTTATGCTAAGTAGGGCTAATCCTTACTTCTCTTTTCTGAACTGAGTAGCTTTTGTCATTTTTCAGGCCTGCTTCCAGAACAAAATAACTGGGTGTGCATCAAATGTTAATGAGGGTAATCTCTGCCCATACAGCTCACTAGGGCTACCTGAAAACCCCAGTGTTCTAATTTCCATCAAAAAACACACCTTTAATATGTCTTGTGTCCTGTTTCCCTTCACTCACTCCCAAACCAGTCATGGCAGAGGCTGCCACTCCCCGGTAGTAGTTTTTCTTTCCCACTGTCCCCAAGTGCTTGCTCATATCACCTGATTTTTGTGGCTTTTTCTCTGTTATTGTAGCATCTTTACCTTACAATATAAAGCACCTTTATTGTGGTCGTTGGTTGTTGTGGTTTAATACGATAAAAATAAAATGTAACTGAACTGAATACATTTGAGGCATCACAAGTCATTACTAAGGTTAAAACAGTCTTATATGAACAGTTAATAGGGTAGCCCACATCACAGCATTCCTTTTTCTTTTATTGTTTTTGTTACTTCTGTGCCAGACTTCTGTACTTACCTTACACCTTATAACAGCAGCTGTTCTAAAACTCTGCAGCAAGAATACTTACAGGGAGTAGAGAGAGGTGATATTTCTGTCATAATAAGGCCCTTTCATTTGTTTCCTGTTAAATCTAGAACCGAATTGCAGTCCTGCTTAATCACACTCTGACACATGTTATAGATCTCATGGTACCATATTCTGTAGATAGCACCAGAGGGCAGACTTACTTCTGATCCTCACATTTTCAGCATTTCAGTGGGAGGCAGAGCCTTCAGATATCATGCTGCTTTCATTTGAAACCAGCTCCCAGTTTGGGTTTGTGAGGCAGACACCATCTCTACTTTTAAGATTAGTTTTAAAACGGTCATTTTTGATAAAGCCTGTAGTTAGGGCTGAATCAGGTGACCCTGAACCATCACTTAGTTATGCTGCTGCGTCAGAGGAACCTCCCATGACGCATCGAGCACCTTTCCTCTACTCTTCTCGCTTTCACTCCACAGACTTCAAAGGGCCATGAACATTGCATGCCATTACCTCCCTGTGCTTTCAGCAGAGGTCTCTGGCTCTGGAGCTGAACATTTCTGACTCAGCCAACCTTCTTTGTTTTAATTGTCTCCTTGACCTATTTTCTCCTCTCTCCCTTTAACCCAACCAGTCAAGGCTGATGTGTGCTCTTCATAAGTGTGGCCCAGGCTGATCTTTCTTCATGTTAAAGTCACTCACCTCATATTTATGCATCCAGTGATATTTATGAAAGTGGCAATAACTGATAACAGCTTTTTTGGCTGGTAACATTCAAAATGAATATAGAATCAGAGCCCCCACCCACCCACCACGTGAAGTCTTAGCCTTACAGTGTAAAAATACTCTGAGATGACTTATGTTTTGACTTTTCACTATATAAATATAATTGGGTTAATATTAAAGAGTCTATATTAGCAGTATTGTTAATTTGGTCTGTTCTGCACATCATATTTTTAATAATCTGTGTACATAAAGGTCTTCCTGGTCCACCTGGTCCACCCTGCTCCACCTCTTGTTCCAGTGACATGAAAAACAAGATTACTGAAGGAAGTAGTCGTCAAATTTACGCATGGAGAGGTAGGAATAATGCCACAATGAGCCAGTGGACCAAGGACCGCAAACATGATATGAGAAGCTGTGTGATTATTAAAAAAACAGTGTTGGCTGACCTGAAGAGTGTTCAGTTGCTTTTGTTCACTCTATATTCGATTTCAGTAGTAGTTAAAAATCACTTGTTTATCCACTATGATATTAAGCAGTGTAACATTCACAGTTCTAGTTGTTTTACCACAAAGTAAAATCTTTTCACATCTCTCCTCACAAATCAGACTGGTCAAAGGCATGATTAATGCCAAGATTTTAAAAGCACAGAAGCCATTCTCCTACAGAAACAAGATTTAAGACTGTTATTTAGATTTTAATTTAAACTCTTTGATTGTCTGGATTTGTCTCTATTTTATTTAGTCTCTTAGTTTCAGTCATGTTGATCTTAAAGATAAGTTCCCAACACACTGGTCATAGAGGTGTCCATTAGCCTGATCGACAACTGTTCATCCATTCATCCATCTTCTGATTGTTTAGAGTTAGAGTCAGAGTCAGGGTGATCACTGATGATGACTTAGACCTCACAGGGTTAAAATTAATAGCTAATAAAACAACACAGAAAACAACAAGTTGCAAAGTATATATGTATGTCTGTATGGGTGGATGTTATGGATAGTGTGTGCTTCGTAACTGCTCTGAGATAAGGGTAGCAATTTATGTCTCTTTTTTTCTTCTTCACAGAATCACCGACACCACGTCCAGCTGATAACACAACTAATGTTTTGAATGTTAGTGGCACAAATATAAAATTAGGTTAGTTACCACTCTGAGCGATAAGAAGTCTTGTTTGGCAGACTAATATTTGACTAAGAAAAAGCATCAAACTCAACATCTTTTATTTCCTAGATTTTGGTTCTTTTTATCCAAACCACAGTCAAGACGCCTTCAACAATACCAAAGAAGAAAATGTCACAGAGGTCCCAGCCGGCGAGAGGTCCCAATCATCAGCAGGTGAGAAGTGCTGAACTTCAACAACAGTCAGCGCAGCCACGATCATTTGTTTTTTGTGTCACAACTGAAAATGCTGCAGAATTGTAAATGTCCTCTTTTTCCCTCCAGGCCTGCTGAGTGTAGCCTTAGACAACAACAGCGACTCCTTCAGAAATGTTACTGTTACTACAGTGGAAAGTGGTAAGAAAATGTCTGCTGTGCTTGCTATCAGTATTGCCACATCACTTCAGAACACAAATAAAAATGGTTGAATAATTGCATTTCCCACTCAGTTAAACCTTAAATGCGATTTTTTATGCTTATTTCCATTTTGGCTCAAAAGGATTTGAAACTTTGGCCACATATACAGTATAATAGTGTATCTGGATTCATTTAAAACATTTATGGTTATGCTGATCATGTTTCTTTTCTGCAGACTGGATATCACCTCACCCAGATTACCAAAGTGACAACCTGACTGAAATCGACCCAGAAAATGTTACAGAAGCACCAATGAATTTATTAGCAGGTTAATATTGGTACTCATTCATTGTACACACAAATCTTATTTCACACTATACTCATTGTACTGGATTTCCTCTTTGATTCCACAGTGTTACCAACACCAGGTGAGCCGCATGATGCTGGAAAAGCTCTCTCTGATGAAACTTTAGACACATATTTGAAAGCTGGTAAGAAACCATTTGAGTGTCAGAATGTCTCTGCTAAGATATTTAAGAGACGGCTGAATGTTTTAGAACTGACGTTAACAAATTCATTTAGATTTCTGCAAACGATACATTTACGATCACCTAATAACTGGAGACACTAAAACTGGTGAATTATGTGATTTTAAATTACACACGATATGACATAAAGATCGCTTGCTGTTTGTAATAAACCAGCAAGTTTCTTCTACAATTATGATAAATTGTGTGTCCAATCATCCAGTGACATCTTCTACGTTCCTTCTGCAGAATCACCAACAGCACATCCAGCTGAAAACCTCATAGATGCTTTGAATGTCTCTGACTCTGAGAAACTGGACAATAAGACAGAATCAGGTAAATGATCAAAAAAACTCAATTTGAATATATGAAAAATGTATTTAAACCACACAGTTTAAACCCCCCCCCCCCCAAAAAAAAAACAAAGAAACAAACAAAAAAAACAAACATTCTAGACCGTTCACCGTTTTATGAAGGTTACAGCTACAGCACAGCAATTCTTAGAAACCCTGAAGTCATCACAGAGGCAGCAGGAAAATTAACAGGTATTAAACTCTAAAACATCCTCTTTCTGTCACTTTAGAAGTGCTTTCACTGTATAGACCCCAGTGATGCAGATCTAAACAGTGCTGCATTTAAGGGCAGCAGAACTGTCAGTGAACAACAGTAAAAACGGGTGTGTTTTAAAAATGCTCCTGTTGTGAGTGTACGGGCTCATACTTGGTTTGATTAGTTTTACTGGCTGCAGATACTTTATTCGTTCACAATCATTCACAAGCTGACGTTACAACTGACTAACAGACTGTGCACTAATATCTTTTAGACGTCTTTGAATACTTACCTTAGTTATATAGTATTATATTATCATTTCATATTTTTAATCCATACTTATTTTACTTCATTTGCTTTCAGATTGTTTTTTAACACTTGTTTTTAATCCTAATGTGATCATACTGTATTCTATGTTATTGAGCTCTATTTATTTAAGCAACTTAATCATGTCTGCAGTGTTTAACTTGATTTTAACTTCTATGAAAAAAGATTTTCCCAATTTTGGGATTAAAATAAACTGCAAGTTAAATTTTTCCTAAGAATGAAAAACTGTTTAAAATACTTGCAGCAGAGTATGAAGTTGAGCTCCAAATTGAAGCAATTAACTATTTGAATATATAATTTTTCTAATGTGTGGACCAACTTCTCTTTCTTACTGAAGAATCACCAACAGATGGTCCAGCTGCAAACACCAGAGGAGGTATGAACATTTGTAACCCTTCTGACACAAAAATCCAACACAAAAAATTCACCAGGACTGATTAATGACAACATTTTAATTCCTCTAGACACAAAACCATTTATGAACAACTTTAATGATGCCAACACTGAAAATGTTACAAATGGACCAGTACAATTATTACCAGGTAATAAACCTTGTGCTTTGAGTTATTAACTGCATGTCCTCCTCTTGTTGTGCTTGGTATGCAAAGAAGACGTGTTGAACTTTGTTGTCTTCTTTTCACAGCTCCACCTGATGCAGATATAAACAGTGACTCCTCTAATGGCAGCGAGACCTTCATTAAAGCAACTCTGAAAACTGGTAAATTCAAGCTGTTTAAAGTTCAGTGCTGTTTTATGTTTCTGTAGTAAATGTTTTGGGGTGGTAAGAGCTTTATCTCTTAAACATCATTAATTATGAAAATATATAGTTTACGCTTTTTATTTTTTTTATCTCATGAACAGTGAGATTTAACCAGGAGTGAGAAACCAATTTTTATATATTACTTGTATACAAATCTAATGTGTGCAGCAGAAATTGTAGTTACATCTTGTGTTTCTTCCTGAAGAATCACCAACAGCGTATCCTCTTCAGAAAGCCACCACAGATGCTTTGAATGTCTCTGAATCTGAGAAACATCTGAGCATGAAAGTGAAAACTGGTAAATCAACCAAGACTGCAAAGGCAACCATAAGTTTGAATATATTAAAAAACAAAATTCAACCTAATACTTATTTTTTAAAATCACAGAACCGGTAACATTTGATGACGATGAAAGCCAGGGGACCTTGAATGACACAGAAACTAAAGGACCAGTAATGCTGTTAACAGGTATGAAATCATTGCTTTGGATTATGAAATATCCTATTTGACTTTGGTTATTATTTATATAAAATTCTTGAACTTTATCATTTCACTCTAATCTTGAATAAATATCCAAAATGATGCCCGAGCTGCTGACAAAATCAGGAGCTATGCTGACTCAAGGTTCAATATTTAACTAAACCTTAAATATCTTAACTTTTTACATTTAGTGACAAGAAGCTCAAGCTTATAAGGACTGGTTGATTCCAGTTGGTGTGCCAGCTCTTCTAGTAAAAGTTTTCTTTCTTTTTGTAGAATCACCAACAGAACATTCACCAGAAAAATCCAGAGGTGTTTTGAATGTTTCAGATGCAACAACAGAACTTGGTAAACCTCAGATGAGACAAACCTTAGTTTGACTACATGAAGAGAAAATGCTAAAGCCGTTTTTTTCTTTAAATTTTCCAGAGTCCTTAAATTTTGATCAAAATGACAGCCAGGGCTCCTGGAATGATACAGACACTGCAAATGTCACAGAGGGGCCAGTAAGAGTATTAATAGGTAGGAAATCATCTGCTTTGAATGGTTAAGTTACTTCTTTCATAATAAAAGTTCTGAATGTGGCTCCAATTTCACTCTGCAGCCCCACGTGATGCCAACATAAAGAGTGATACGTTTAATGGCAGGAGAACCATCATTAAAACAAGCACAATAACAGGTAAAAAACTGCCATACTGTATCTGATTCTGGTTATACTGTTTATACGTGTACTAACTCACTTGTATCTTTGTATCTGCAGTAACACCAACTCCACATCCAGCTGAAAACACCAGAGATGCTTTTACTGTTCCTGGTTCTAAAAAGGATGCAGATAAAACAATAGAACCTGGTAAAACATTAAGACACTAGAGATAAACTGAAGTCTAAATATATGAAAAAAAGAGAAAAAAAAACAAGAGAGTAAGCACTCTACTTTGTTTTCTAGAGCTAAAAGCAGCTGATAAAGATGTTGCCTTCAATGTTGCTATACAAAATGCTACAGAGGCATCAGTGACACGATTTATAGGTAAGACTAACACACTCGTTATGAACGTTACTCTCATAGCGTTATTTATTTATATGGAATATTTCATCCTATTTCTATTGGAGTCTTGATTTTTGCTGGAACATTTGGATGGTATGGTTAAAATTTTACGTAAACACCATGTGACAGCATGGATTTTTGGGCCCCTAAGTACAAGTTAAACATCATTAAAGACCGTGGCCTACCCGCGTATTGATCCTGATCATGTCCATGTGCTTATGACCACAGTGTACACGTCTTCTGAATGGCTGCTTCTAGCAAACTGGTTAATTGACATGACTCCTCAAATGGGCTCCACATTCACCAGAACTCAATCCAATGAAGCACCTCTGGGATATGTTGGGTGGGAGGTTCACATTATGGATATGCAGCTGACAAATTTGCAGCAACTGTGTGTTGCTATCATATCAATATGGACCAAAATCTCTGAGTGTTGTTTACAACACCTTGTAGAATCTATGCCAAAAAAATCAAAGGTGTGAAGGAAAAAGAGGGCCCAACCTGGTGCCAGTAGGGTGTGCCTAATATGGTGTTTTTGAAACTATAATATCATTAGAATCTCTATACACTCTTTCATTTTTTTTTTTCAATTTAAAGGTTCACTTTCTGAAGAACTGGATAAAAACAGAGACACTTTCAATAACAGTGGAAACATCAATGATAAACCCATGACAACTGGTGAGGAATTGCCACGTGTCCCATTTTGACCTCAATACTGACACTTCACTTCACACCTCACACAAAAATACAAAGTAATGATCACTTGCTATGACTCAAACATCATTAATATTTACATTAAAAATGATCTTTCATTTTTTTTTCCAGATTCTTCAAATAAGCTCTGGTCTGATAATAAGATCAGTGTGACCACCGGTGACAAATCAACAGAAAGTGGTTAGAGACTTGCTAAATTAAGCTTCAAATCATGCCATTATCTAATTACCTTCTACTGTATAGTTTACTGAAATACAAAAGTGTGTGTGTGTGTGTTTTTTTTTGTTTAGAGTGTATTATTAAAAACATAAAATGCTCAGAGAAGCCCACTGAAATGGAAAGCACCTATGGAGCCTGGATGTCAGACGCGTCGCAGCTGGATGAAGATCAGTACTGGGTGGCCGATCATTTTTCAGGTGACTTACACAACATCCATGAATTCTCACTTCATAACAGACTTTTGAGAGTTATTTGATTGGATTTAACGCAAGAACTTTTTGTCACCAGGTCGACATTTGTGGGAATATCAGGACCTTTCAACATCGCAAAACACTAAAAACACTATAGACACCAAGAGGTTCTACCAGGGGTGTGGCCATGTTGTTTATAAAGGATCATTTTACTACCACAACGGCGGGAAAAACAGACTTATAAAGTAAGTGCTGCACCATCTGCACCTGTCTTGAGGTGTTTGATGCCTGCAACATTTATTTAATGGTCAATATTTTAAATTTTTACAGATTTGGTCTGAAAACGAAGAGAACGCAGATTCTGACCATGCCAGACACCAGATATCACAACCTGACTTATCTTTTTCGAAACTCAAAGACATACTTCAAGTTTGCTGTGGATGAAAGTGGACTGTGGGTCATCTTTGCCTCAAACGCAGATGACAGCACACTGGTCGCAAAGCTCGACGATGACACATTCTCTATAGAGTCTGTCATTAACACCACCTACCCGACAGCTAAAGCAGGAAATGCTTTCATTGTGTGTGGGGTGCTGTATTTCACAGATGACAAAGACAGAAGGGTGACATATGCCTATGATTTAAAGAAAGAGAGTCCTGTGGATGCAGGTTTTGACATAAGATCAGGTAATGGAATCTTAGCTATGCTGTCGTACTATCCCAACAAAAAGATTTTGTACGTGTGGGACAACAAAAGTGTGAATACCTGCAGAGTTAAATTCAAAAAGACCTAAAAATAAATAATCAAACTCTATGACATCATGCAGTTGGCTTCACAAGGCATTGTATGATTTAGTTTTGTCACAATATACAGGTAAATAATTGTGCAATTTTTTATTTTTTTTTTGTGTCCCGTTTGGATCTTTAGCCATCAGAATTATTGTCTTAAGGCCAAGAAAGATGCCAAGCGGATTTATTTTACCAAGTGGATCATCATGGCCTTGCCATATTGGTCCATTTGATTGACCTTTATTATAATTATGAATTTATTTTATTTTCAGTTGCTACAAAGTGCAATTTTTCTTGTTGTGTGCTTTTCAGTTTAATTTGTTTGTGAAAAACAACAAAAAACCAAGGATGAATAGTATTCATAGCAACGTATATTTTTGTATTTTTCTGTAGACAGACTTCTGTACTGAAAGTCTTATAATCCGGTCAAATAAAAGGTGTGTGATACCTCTTTAATAATAATCAGGTTCTGCTGTGTCAACGTGATATTTAGCATTTTTCACTTCTCTCGAGAGCCTGCCTTAATGAGTATGTGCATGTGATAAAGCTATCTGAATACATGATGGTGGTGTACAGGTGGTGGTGGACGGCAGAAGCTCACAAGCCAAGTTTTGTCCAGGAGCCTTAAGAGATGACACACTGGAACAGCTTTTACAGCTAACTGTGCAGCTGGGTTGAGACATTTGAAATCAGACTTTAAATGTAAATTTATATGAGTCGTTTTTGTTTGCATGTCTTACTTTGTACAACTGACTGGGAGAAAAGTTATAACCTTACACATACACTCATTGGCTACTTTTATAGGTACAATTTGCTAGTACCGGGCTGGACCTCCTTTTGCTTTTAGAACTGCCTTAATTACCATACAAATGATGCAGTATAAACTGACAACCAAACAAGCAAATAATGTTTCAGAACATCTGCTGTCCAACAATGGTGGTGAGCATTTGTGAATTCAATGTAGCTTTGGTTTCCTGTTCTTAGCTGACAGGAGATGCAGTCTTGAGTGTTATGTTTTGCTGCTGAAGCTTCAAGGTATGCTCTTCTGCATACACTTGGATGTAACAAGTGGTGATTTGAGTTACTGTTACCTTCCAATCAGCTCAGAGAAGTTTGGCCATTATTCTCTGACCTCACATTCATTCACTTATATTTAACAAGACATCTTGTGACAGCCGTCTGTTTGAATGATAGTAGCATACAGTATATTTCTGATGAAACATGTCCCTAAAATTAGTAGTTTTTCCGTTATCCATATAACATCCATGACAAAGTGTCATGGCCCCTTCTTAAAACAAAAAAACAGCTTCTTGTTTGTAGCATACAGTATATTTCTGATGAAACATGTCCCTAAAATTAGTATTTTTTCTGTCATCCATAGATAACGGGCATAACTTCTGATTTAAAGTTCTGTCTGTCTTTTATCAAGCTGCTTTAACAGGGTGAAGAATTACCTGTGCAGAAACAGCATGACATATGAAAAGGTCAAGATAATCATACACTTTTTTTTTTCACTTCACAGACTCGATCTCATCAAGTGTCCCAAAAAACCTTGTCAGCAAAACAGTGACACAAAGACAACTTTATATAGGACTGCACAGTATTTTTTAACCCTCGGGCCCTTCCACTACATATAGACAGACAAATGGCCCTAACTTTCAGTGGCTCTGGGTTACAGAGGCGGACACATATCACAAGAATCCATAAGTGATGTACTGAACTATAAAATCGCAAACACTATTGGATAGCGCAACAGGAAATACACAAATTAACAAGAACACTGCACAGTATCAAGAACAAAGACAAAATAGTGCATATTTGCCAATAACACGGGTGATGTCAAACCTAGCCCATATTTCTGAGAGTATTTCTTCATTTCTTTCTTTGTTTAAAGTTACATGCATTTGGCTGCGGTCGTGAGGTCTCAGAATCTGCTATGTGAGCAAAAAAGAGTGACAAGACCACAGAATCGACGGCTAATAACATCACGGAGAAGCTCGCAGCTATTAACGGGAGAATGAGAGACCAGTGTCGGAGTGTTAAAAACAGCTTGAAATTCTCAAGTACCATCATAATGCGGCTACCCCTTCGGCGCCAGCTGTGGGCTCAAGGCCGGAGCTCAAGGCCGGAGCTCAAGGCCAGAGCTCAAGGCTGGAACCGAACAAAAACTCCCTGATAACGACTTGGTTGAGTCTGTTCCTTCCCATTCCCTACGAGGCCACCTGGGTTGGCTGGAAGACTGTTTACTTAGCCTGGCAGGGCGAAGGACACTGTCTCAGCTGAACTATGGACACGCACACACACATACTGATACTGATAAGCACTCACTGACGCATCACCCTCCCTACCCCGGATCCAACGCCACCTCCAACGCTTACCGATGTGGACATCGGGTCAGCTGGAGGCGCAGTCGAGAGATTGCAGCGGTCCCAGATCAGATGTACACACTGGAACTCTTTCCCATGTTGCTTGTCTGTGTTTATTGTGTTATGGTGTGTTGATACCTGTGCATTCCTGTATTATCCTTTTGTGTTGCACATTTCAATGTTTTTTTTCCCTCGCTACCTGGCCTGACCTGTCTCCCCAATGTGATGTTTGTATTGTATGTACGGTCGGCAAGGTCTGTCATCTCGGTTGTGGGCAAAAGACCTGCAACTGACAAATAAAGGCTATCTCATCTCATCTCATCGCATGCATTAAAATGTCAAACTAACTCTCATGAGTACCAAGGCTGTGTTAAACTTCTACATAATAATGCATACTGAATCTGAACTGAGCCTATCAAATAACAAAGTGTGACTGAAACGACTGTTAACAGGTTATAATGCTAGATGTGATATGTCCCTTAACTACCAAACGCAACTTAATTTCACAATATCTTTGTTAACGTTGCATATTACTATGTTGTCATGAACGCACCACGAATCGCGCTATGTTTGAGCAGATCTCAAAATATCTGGATGGGTTTTGAATGCGCTGGCACGAATGAATCCACCATGCTGCTGACACCTTGCACACTGTTTTTAACGCTTCCTTTGGGGAAGGCTAGTTCGCTAGCCGGGTAACCAACCTAATAACCTAGCTCATAACACCAGGCGTTACATCACTTTAGTTCGTGTCACACCTGTGAAATAACGGTCTAAAGAAGTTGACACTTTTCAGTCCATGTAACAGGCACTGTGGCATTAGCATGACACACTGACCTTTCTAGCTGTAACAAACGTGCAGAAGCTTTAGTGATTTATCAAATTTGTGTTTCAGAGAGGGGCTGTCAAGACGCGACTGCTTTCAACGCGCACTGTGAGTAAAACTGGAAAGCTAGTTAAATGTTGCTTTGTGTTTCGTAGTTAGTAGTTTTAAATAAACTGGGAACGATACCTGCAATTTTTTTTTCTTAGGAGTCACTCTGCCTATTAGCTCTGCAGCGTCGGCTGCTTGTCATTTCCTCTAGAAGAAAACGCTTAGTGAATTTGGTTAAGGCCTAGCATGCGAAGCTAACAGTTACCTATTTACGTAAGCTAACTAGATAGAGTGTTCATAAAGGGTACGTTTATAGCATTAGCATTGCGTGATAGCTTAAAATACCAACACCTTTTCGTGTGGTGTACAGTGTAAATATTTAGACTGTAGTGGCGACTATCTAGTCTCGTCAACGAGCTGCTGTGCTAATGCTAACTGTGACGTTGGAGTATTGAGGCGTTAAACCGGCCTGTCTTATTCAGCGCAGTCTGTTAGCTGTACGATGCTAACTTGACACTTTTTTGTTTCTTTAAGGAGTTTGAGACAGAAGAAAAGATGTCCTGTCCATGTGCTTCGGCTGCCAGGTTGTTCCTAAACACTGCTAACAGAGGTACGAAAGGGAAGACGCACATACTCCCTGCCCTACAGCTGCGTTAAGCTGCATGACATTGAGCTATTTGCTTCAACTTGTGGAATCAGGGCCCCAGCTGACCTAGATTACTGTTTGTTATGACAGTTCTGTAGCTAACGTCAACAGGAGGTAACAACGTAATTCATGACAGTTTAGAAGCTAAAGTTAGGACAATGTTGTCACATCACCTACGTTTTCGTATTTCAGATTTTAGACCAACAATACATATGATTTCATGACAAACAACAAAAACATAAGGAGCGATTTTACCCCATGTAAATACAATTCTTTCATCAGACCGTGAAGTGCTGCTCTTAATAATATACATGAAATATGGTCTTTGGTATTATGGTATTTATGCATTATGTAGCCTTATAACATGTAATATTAGACATGTTGTTAAAATGCCCCTTTTTAAATCTTTAAACGTTTCTAAAAAACATTTTTGTTTTACTTTTAACCTTTATTTGCCCAATTCCCAGACACAAGTGAAGCCTAATTGAAAACTAAAAGAAAATTTAAGTGAAAATATTATGCCCTCTTCCCCCAAAATTAATGCTAAGGACACTATGCATTGTATAGGAAAACGCAATTAAAATCATATGTAAATGTCATTAGTTTTCAGACTTATGGCTGATAGAAATCTAAAGGGATGTTGCTTTTTTTAAATTTTAAAATTTTTTTTTTTTAACAGGACTGTCGTGCTCTCGGATTCAGTTGTTTTTTCTGAGTCGTCACGGGTTTCGAGAAACTCATTTGCCTCCTCGAGTACGTGTGAGGTCGTTTTCAGAGACCTCTGTCTGTTATGGCTCTAAAGATGGGACAACCAAGGATGGTGGAAGTGATGGTGGAAAGGTAATCTTTATTTGCAACATTTTGTAAATGTGGACGTACACAACCTAGTTAAAGCAGTGGATGATAATACTTTAATTTAACACGTGCTAACACAGTTGTTTTTACACAGAAGAACCTCAGTGAGGGGAAGAGAATGTCTGGCTCCGGAGGATCGGGTAAGGGTGGAAGCCAGCTACGCTGCCCTAAGTGTGGGGACCCCTGCACACATGTAGAGACCTTTGTATGTGAGTTCACATATTACTCTTCAACAATTATTTACAAATGGTCTAACTGTTGAATGATGTCATGTCATGTTGTGTCAGTTGTGGAAATGTTTGTGTCCCAGATGTTTTCTTACGATATAAAGTTGTTTACCAGTTGTTAAAAAAAACAAACCAAAGTAAATAAACTGATCATAAATAAATACATGGTATTATCACTGCTAGAAAACTAATGGTTGCTGAATAAATGGTTGCTGTTACTGGATTCCTCTCAAGATGGATGATGAGCAGGG